TCCCTCTCAAGACTTAGTCATGTTGGAGTGGGGGCGGCGCGCATCAGGCTGTCAAGACCAGAATAGCGTTGTCTCCAGGGTTTAACAGCTTCAACGACGTGGTAGAGTCTGAGCGGTTCACATCAGCTCTTCGATCACAGACGACAGGAGCTTGTACGCCACTAGCGACAGGGTCTCAATACAAATGACGAATGGACCGAAATCGAGGACTTGCTGCATTTTCCTCCGCTAGTGAGTGTTTTCAAAATCGAGCCGTGAACATGACGGGTAGACCTCTTGGTGGAGGGCAACGTCATCTACGTCTTGGCGCTTCCAGTTGTGAAAGTGCTCGACGGGGGTACCCTGAACTACATGATGATGCCGCGAGGGCTTGGCTTGAGCACTGTAGTCTGGTTCCTCCCTTGTGGGGGACTTGCCCACACGAAAGGAATTGGAAAACTGAATTTGATCGCTGAGAGTTTTAAGCTAGCCTGAATGAAGTTGAACGTTGGAATGAGCGCACAATAACACCATGCAAACTTAGATAAAGCCAAAACCAGAATGGGCGATCATGAGATCAATGCAGCAAAATTCAATGAATGCAGTGGCGAACGCGTGAAACACGGTAAGCGACCAGAAGATGCTGCAACTCCATCTTCTGACGCCTTCTGGCCATGGTGCTAGACCTCAGGACCAGAACATCACCCTCCTCCTCGTGGAGTGGACTTCCGCGGTGGATTGTGACGTAAGCGAGGAGAATCAAGGGGGGGTCACCGCAGGCGAAGCAGGAGCAAGCGCAAGGGCGACAGGCTGCAAGGCTGATGGGGCGCAGCGAGGGAAGGCACCACTGGAGCAGCAGGCTGTACAACCACGTCGGAGGAAAGGACTGGAGACGGGAGATCATCGACGAGAGTAGGAGGGCGGGAGTGCGCGGATAAGGCACGAAGCGCTGCGGCCACGTGCGGGGGGTTAGAAACAAAGATGGCTCGCATGATGCGTGGAGCGTCCATGACGCTCAACGAGGTCTTCCACGATAAAAGTCCAAACAGACAGCACCTCGACAATGCGTTTAGGGCCGCGCCATTGCGCAGATAGCTCGGGTGGTTTCCCACGTGATGTGTGACTGTGAACGTAAGTTGTAGGCACCGCCAGCCGCTGACTGTGTTTGCGTGGGAGATGACCGATGCAATTGCTCTCAAGTGCCGCCTGTTCTTGTCGCGGTGCGTTGAACTGCGATCACGGTTGAGCTCTACCGTTGGCCACAGCATCTTGCGCGGCAGCGTCAACCCCGATGGATGGAATTGCTCCACCGGCGGTCCCAGCTCTCCCCAACTACGAATCGCGACCAAGTACACGACGAAAGTGTCCATTCCGAGCAGATCTACGCGCATCACCACTTTTTCGGGAGCGCAAACCATCCGTCCGATGCGGTCTGCGCATGCCGTTCAGTTTTCGAGGTTGGGTTGTAGAACGGTGCGCACTGGGTGGACAATGCGACAACAGTTCTTGCGATGCTAGGACAACATTCATGTCGTTGTAGCCGATCGCCCACGTTAGGTACGGTATGCAACAACCACATTCGACGAACGGCGCAAGAAAGTGCGGCCCTGCCTCCCGATCGCGGGCTAGCACCTGCTGGTTTATCCTCAGCATGTGCAATGATACTTGCGATGTGGACACCCCAAGAGCTGAGCTGTGGCTGGTACAATGTCGCACTGTTTAAATGTCGTCTTTGCTATGTGCTTTTGCATGGTTGGGACGTATGGCGCGTGTCCGTCCGTTCGTGTTTCATGTGGCGATGGAATCGATTTCACGAGCTCGAAGTCCAGTCTCCGCGACCCGGTCTGACTTTGCTGGGCGAAGTGCTTTTCCGATTGACCCATCTTGACAGACGGTCGCTACCTCTGGTGAAGCCACCCCCAGACGGACCCAGCATGTGAGTTGGCTGATGGAAGGAGTCGGCGCAAACCATGTATATCAATTTATGTTTGCTGGGCGGTGCAGATCGTTTTGAACGACGTGCTGGGGGCCGCTACTGCTGCCACTGGTAGTACTTGTTGCTCTGTGGGTCGTGATAGCAGTCCAAGATCGGGTCGTACACGAGGTCCATCGGGGGCGGCTGGCTCCAATCTACGGCATGCTGTCAATGCCGTCGTTGAATCCAGGAACAAGGTACCAGTCGACTCTACAAGGGGGTTGTGAGAAGCAGTGAGTCGATGCGGACATACCAAGCAAGCTCTGGATGCGGGGATCGACGACGGAGCGCGCTGTTCTGCACCGATTGATCAGCCATGCTTGGATCGGATGAAGCAGGAGAGATCGTACGGTGGGGAATGCGAATGCGTGGTCTTGGCGGGAGGTGGCCGCCGCGCCACGGGGGAACAATTCATTTGCACCATACTCGGCAGCGATTCCTCCAGCACATCGGTAAAGTCAAAGCTCTGTGCTTGCAAGTCCTTGGTCCTACAGCCGCGCCAAAAGGAACGTTTTGCAGCAAGCCGGGGACAAGGACTCTTACATGTCAAAGCTCAATTCGTCGTCGTCGTCCTCGCTGTTGTTCTAGTCGAAGCGATGAGTGCCATCACTGCCACAAAGAGACGTCCTACTTGATCCATCCAACGCCCTTTCGTGCCCAGTGGATGCGACACCTCCTCCTTCACGCGTACTTGCTCGGTGTCATCTTGAGGCTCCGAGTGGTGTGCCACTTTCGCAATGCCATTCGAAGTCAGTGGCCCTTCCTCATCCTCCATACACGGGGCGAAGGGCGGGTCGAGGGCAGCTGTCAGTTGTGGCTGGCCCACAGGCTGCAACAGGCTCTGCGGCGCCCACTGAAACAGGCTTGCTACCGACTTTGCCGCGCCAACGTCGATCCGCTGATTTTTCACCTCTGGAGTAGTGCTGGTGGGTTCTGGAATGGAGTCCGGAGTTTGGTTGTCAGGACGGCCGTCGAGGATGCTGGGTGGTGCAGAATCCTCGTTGGACACCCCACGACTGTCCTCCTCGTCCATCCATTCCATCGCGGCGGGTACCTGCAAAATGCTCTCTTGTGTAAAACTCCCACGGTGGATCGAGCTAGTCATGCGTACTGCGACGGGTGAAGGCAAGTCGTCACGAAAGAATGGCGACTCGTCCAGGGCCAGTGCCTTCGCCAGCTCTTTCGCTGTGAGCTCGGCATTGCTTCGGCTAGTCGGGACAGCATCAACGACGGGCTCGACCGCATCGCTGGCGATGGCCGTGGTAGGTCGAGAGAGACGTGGAGCTTCAGTGTGAGTTGGAGGCTTGACAGGACTTTTGTCATCTTCCCAAGATCGGAACTTGGAGTCGAAACGGCGCGTTGTGTCCAAGGCATTGTCCCTGTTTTTGCCAGAGATGCTCTGCACCTCTGGTGAATCGGACGGACCGGGGGCTTCCGTGAATGCAAACCGAAACATTGACGACAGTGGCGGTGGCGCCACGGTGACGGGTTGAATGCGTCGTCTTCCTTGAATATGACTGTTGTGGGCGGAAGATGGACGCACGGAGGATGGTGCTGAAGGTAGCGCACTGGCTGGCTCTCGAGTTTCTGTGTGTGGCGGCGCTCGTCGGGCCCCCCGACTCGACGTGCTTCGTGACGACGATGCCGACGATGGCGCGCCGAGTGTTTTCTTCGTTGAATCTGCCGATAGGGGCTTTCCTCCTGCCGCAGCAGCGACCCTAGCACTCCTGGTGCTTGACGTGGGTCGTGGAGTTTTCGCTTTTTCGCGGTGGGAGTTGTCTAGATGCAAGCATGTGAATTTAGTGATTCAACGGTTCTTGTGCACGTACCTGGAAAATGCGTTGGCAAGGACGCTGACGGTGGCGGCGCCACAGTTTTGGCCGCAAAGTACTCGGTTATGGCCCCCGGAATGGCGAACGCTCGAGGAATGTCGACGCCTCCGACAAAGTCTACCCACCGGCCATCAATGCTGGGAGTCGGCGGTTCGTGCGTTCGTACCAAATGGATGGTCCGACGGGATCGGCGGCTCCTTCATCGTAAACACCCGGCGGAGTTTGCACGTTCCACTGAGGCTAATGGAGTCGAGGGTGCGCAGAGTTTTGGCAAAAGATCCGTCCACTAATGCCGCCACGTCAAAGCACCAATTCAACCACGTGTCCCGCGTAACTTGCTGCAATGGGACCTAGACACCTCCGTCGATCACGAGAGATGGTGATGGATGGCTGCGCTGACTTGTGCGTGGAGCTGATGGACGACCGCGCCGCGGAACGCCGACGACATGACAATGCGGCGCCGCGTGCCATTGGCGTCGGTCACGCCGACTTCGACCGAGATGGCCGCCGCCGCTGGAATCGCCGTTTGGAGCACGAGGTATCGCTGGGTAAGTCCAACTACATTCAATCCCGGCACACATCAGCCGACCACGAACGACGACATGCAAGAACGGAGTCGCACGGGATTTGGTGGAATCCTTGGGCAGCGCCATCTTGGTCGCGAGCGCCGACCCTTCCATCGTGAACAAAAACACTTTGCTCAGTTTGTCGTACTCGCGACGGACTTTGCCCGTGAGTTTCCATGGGGCCGCGGGATTCTTGCCCCCCGCCGCGAGCAACTCGACGCTATCTCCTCCCTGGAACATGTTGGCAGTCCCGAAACGATCGTCGCGGTTGGAGCAACAAGGGGGTTTCATCCACAGCGGCCATTCGGTTACGGCAGGCCGGCAACCAAAGCGCATGCGAACAACCTGACGGTGGTCCTGCTGTCATGACCAGAGTTCATCGGCACTTGGGAGTACGAAGTTGGCCGTTAGCCACCAAGGCACAGAGTTTCGACAAATTTAACTTAGCATTGACTTGCCTCAACACGTGCACACGTGTATTAGCATCTCATTTTTCCATCAGATTTTCCCTAGAGTGCGGTGGTTTGCAAGAAGCTGGCCAATAACTTAGTATTGGGCCTTCTTGGCGGCTTCGGCGGCGATGGCCTTGGCACGCAACTCCAACTTCTTTTGGGTCTTCAAGCCCATGATGCCGCCACCCCACTTGCGGCGGTGGGTGGTTTCGTCGTTGAATTGAGCGCGGAATGCCGTGTTCAACGAGTCAAACTTGGCCTTGTCTTCCTTGTTGACTTGGGTCAACGCGACGACGGCAGCGTTCTTCTTGTGGACGAGTTGGCCGAGGCGAGCCTTGCCCTTGAAGATGACGTATGGGATGTCCATCTTGCGGCACAAAGCAGGCAAGAACACGACCAATTCCAACGGCGACACGTCGTGGGCGATCACGACCAACTTGGCCTTCTTGTTTTCGATCAAGGAGGTCACGTGGTTCAAGCCAAACTTGATCGTGGCAGGGGGAGCCGCGGCTTGTTCCTTGCCGGCGGCAATGTCCTTCAAGCGCTGTTGCTTGGCAGCCTTCGTTGCCGGCTGGTACTTCAACAAGAGCTTCAACAAGTCGGACGCGTGGTTCTTGTCCAACGTGTTGGTGAATTGGTTCACGGAAGGAGGAACCTTGAGGCGCGTTTGCAAGATCTTGGCTTGGCGTTGGAGGCGCACGTTCTTGGGCCAGCGCACGAAGCGGGACACGTCGCGCTTGGGCTACAATGCATGACAACGCGATGAGGACGATGCGGTGGGCGTAACGAGTGGGTGCCAAGAATTTACCGTAGTGCGCGATCCACGAGAGTGGACCGACGACACCACAGATCATTTCTGTCATTGCGGTTGTGGTAACCCGCTAACATCATCGACGAATGCATGAAGCAACGACATGGCGTCGACCTCTCATCCGACGACAATCGAGGCACGGTGCGATACCTGGATGTCACCCCCCAAACGGAAGTTCTTGGGGGCAGAAGGGAACAAAGGATCAGCACCCTTCTTCTTGGACGCAGTCGAGCCGGCGGGCTTGGCACCGGCCTTGGCGGCAGTCTTCGCGGGAGCGGCTTGGGCAGAGCCCTTGGTGACCTTCTTGGCAGGCATGATGGAAAAATGCACAATGGCCAAATGCGCGGCCCACGCGACCACTCAAAACGCGAGCCAACCAAATGCATGAAGCAAATTCAGCCAATGAGGATGGAATATTCATTGTTGGGGGTTCGGTTTAATTGAATTAACAAAATCCACTGGCGTGCACGATGCAGGATTCAACGACCGTCCCACCCCTGCTTTTCATCCCCTGTGTGGTGCGCATTGCAAATCTTTCAGGTGTTCTCTTCCATATTGCGTTGGATTGCTTGGAAGTCGACGAGCCGCCCGTCAAGTTGTCGCCTCTGGTGGGATGACGCGGAATAAAACGTGTTGCGTTGATGTTGGAATCTGTTTCGATTGGTCGAGAGAATTGAGACTAGCCAATCGTAGAATTTATATATTTTAGCCAATCCGAGTCTTGATTGGGTAGAGTACAAATAAATAAGTGGACGCTGGGCTCATGCAGAAGGAACTAGCACTCCCTCTATGAATAACACGATCTTTCGAAGAAACCCAGGTGTTGTTTGTAACGGGGGAGACAAACAAGTTTGGCGTTTTCATGGATTTCGCTCGAGGTGGTCGGAAAACTGGCGGTGCAGCTGATGAGTCACCTGACAGAAGCGTTGGCAGGAATGGAAGCACCGATTGAGCCAGATGAGATGGAGAACGGCCCGCACAAGCCGACGAAGGAAGCTGTTTTGGAAATGGTGATGCGTCGGTTGTGTTTGGAGACTCCGGGGTGGACGGCGCCGATGGTGCAATTCCTCAACGACGATGAACACTGCGCGGCGTTCCTGAGCTTCATCACGTTGTTGGAACCTTCGCTGAACGATGACGCTGAGTCGTTCCTGCACGACGGTCCGTCCCATTCGCACATCAAGGGTCCCAAGGTGCCCCGCGAAGACACGGATGTCTCCGAGGACTTGAAACGCAGCTATCGCGCCACGATGTTGGTGGCTGGCGACGACACATCCGATCAAGTTCTTCTCCTCTTGAGTTCGAAGGCGCGCGTCATGACCAAATGTCTCTTTCCCATTTTCCAATCCAACTCGCGCGGGAATCTCCGTCACGGGTGCAAAATCCTTGACAAGCTTCTCCGGTTGCATTTGAACGACGTCCACAACGTCGTGGGGGTGAACGGCCGAACATGCGGTCGATACATGCAGTGCTTGCTCGAGCACATCGAACACCCGCACGTGTCAGAACTGTTTCTCACGATGATATGCAAACCGCACAATGCAGCGTTGCTGCGTGTGTACATTTCACCGCCTGCGACCAAGATCATGTTCTACAAGGCCCTCGCAGACATCAAGATCGTCCTCCTTGTCGCTCAGCACATTTGCGACACCCAGTACGACGAAGTCCACGCGATCGCGGCCGCCGACGTCCTGCTGGAACTTCTCGATCGCTTGGCCGCCGACGACTATGGCGGCATCGTGCTGGAACCGTTGGCGCACTCGACCCAATTGCTGGAGAGCCTCGTGACGACGGCGCTGACCCCCGATGGCAAGTCAGCGCAGTCGTTCCTCGCTCCTCCTTGCGGTCGCCGCACAGCAGCCATCCGGTACATGCTGTCCACCATTGCTCCTGCTTAAGTTTGCGTGCACAGGTGCCTCTTGGGGCTGCTTGAAAAAGCTGCGCAAGACCAAGTCGTCGGCCCCCCCACGTCGCCTTACCAGTCGTTCGGGTCAACAGTCGTCAACATGGTGCCCAACCAGTTGCACGTGGCCAAAGCGTTTGTGTTTGACCGGGTCCAAGCGCATCTCCCCGAGATCCTCACGTACTTGCAAAAGCAGTTTGCGGCGCAGCACGCGTCCACGGCGTCGGACCACGGTGTCAAGCACACGGCGTATACGGTCGCCCACCCGTTCACCGAGTTTCGCATGCACTTGGTGCAGCTCCTCGTCGCGCTCGTCGAGCAAGCGCCGAGGACGCACCTCGCCACGTTCTTCACGACGGACGTGTGGCGCATTTTAATCGCGTGGTTTGTCCAGTACCCGCACAACAACTTGTACCACCACGCATTTTACCGCCTCGTGTTCCTTGCCCTGCGCACGGACGACGCCGCCGTCCTCAAGCCCCTGCTTCAACACGCCAAGCTCGTCACGACCCTCATCGACATCTACCGGAAGGACCCGACCGCGTCGTCGAGAGGATATATCCTCCAAGCGTGCAATGCGATTCGGTAAGTGCATGGTCGTTGCGTGGATGAAGAGCAGACCAGCTCCCAAATGGACGGACAACACGCCCCGTCGACTTTGTCGGTGGCGACCATGAGTTGCTGTGGTGGGCTGACTGCTGCTGTGTTCAATATTCTGAATGGACAGTGGATGCAGCACGCGTTGTACACTCACGTTTGTCGCTGGATGCGCAGGCTGCAAGCGGCGACGTTGCCCCCGGACGCGTTCCTTCGGTCGTTCTTGCAGTCGCACGCGACGTGGCGGTCGTTTGATGCCGAACTTTGTGACACAACCCAGGCGTCGGTGGTCAAAGGCCTGGGCATCCCCGTCCCAACCAACATGATGCGGATGATGCCGCCTCCCGCGGTCGATGGGGCGGCGGCTCCCCCCGCTGCGATGGTCTCCGATGGCGGTAGTGTTTTTTTTGTGGTCGAGTCAAATCTTTTCATCGACTTTTTTTTCGCAACTGCGCAGGTCGCCATAACATCGAGCTCGGGTCCGAGTTTGCGTGGAAACTCGGGTTTGTCGACGACGAAGAGTACGAGCCAGAGGAAGGCATGGACAAGAAGAAGAAAAAGAAGAACAAGGGCAAGAAGAAGAGCTTGATGGGGTCGCCGGATCATGTGAACGAGAGCGAGGGCGACGAGTTGAGTGCATCGGCAGCTGCCCCTGGCGAGTCCGGCGACGACGCGCCGTCGACTACCACCAGTTCGGACGACGTGGAAACTTCATCGGTTGGGAAGAAAAAGAAGCGAAAAAAGCACAAAAAATAACGAGACGGCGCGCACGGCACGTTGCAAAAGAGTTAGGTGTTCAACAGGGTGGCGTGGAGGGTGGGCGGGAGCAGGCGGCGTCGAATGGCCAACGTGATCTGGTCGCCGCATGATGCGCACAGGACGTACGACGTGCCTGCGTGGGTGTCTGGTGGGGTCGGGCAAAGCACCGTCGACGTTGCCGGAACATGTTTCTATGCCGTTTTCCACAGAGTCAGCGCCGTTGTAGTCGCGGACCGTGCGCGAAGGCAGGAAAACAAAACGCGTCGCCCATGTCCACCACTTCAATCAGTGACGAGTCATGCCTACCTCGCAGTGAGCCACCGGACAGAACCGGCAAATGAACTTGGACACGTGCGTGCACTTGGGGAATGCACACAGGTGGCGTGGACAAGTCCAGGTGACATCGTCGGGAACGCTGAATCCAAGGCAATCTATCCCGTCGATCGAAGCGAAAGCCCGAGGGGGTCAACTGGCGGGCCATCAAAACTTACCGACATGGTACACCTTTGGACATCGATGCTTGCCGACGAAGTCGCACTCGATCAAATCGCCGCCGTCCTTACAGCAGAAGCACGAATCCTCCGATAGCTTGGGCGGCGAACGACGTGTCTCGCGGTGGAGTATCGACTGCACGTACGACACAAAGTAGGTGAGGCCGTCTTGGGGATCGATGGGCGGCGGGGACATGGCGGCAACTGGAGCAGCACCGTCGTCCCCAGAGGCAGTCACAAGTGGTTGTTCACCCGTCGAGCTACCAGGACGTCGTTCACGTCTAAATACCAGGGGAGGTGGTAGCAGGTCGGACCTTGCTGCAGGCTCACAGAGGGGGCATCCCACTGTCCCCAGCTTCAGCACACACGCTGGACAGCACGCCTTGGAGCAATGCTCACACGGTCGGACGGGGTCGTTCGCTTCAAAGTAGCCGCACACGTCGCATCCAGTGGAAGGCACCCCCGCGACGGTATCGACGCATGACGGACACAATTGCGCCTACATGTACCCTTTCAGACAAGATCGATGTCGACGAGCGCACCGCGAGTAAGTGGGGATGAGAGACCAGCGAGTCGGTAGTGGTGCCGCACAACAAGCACGCGGCGAGTGGAATCGACAGTCGGCGGGGCATCGCCAGCAGCGTCGCGGCGTCGGGTGGGGCTGCGCTGCATCCTGTGCAATCGCACGTTCTTGAGCAGAGGCGACACGAATAATGCACGCCGCGGTCGAAAAAGTCGGTGAGGTTCAATTTGAACTTGTAAAACATGCAACGGCCACAGAAAACGTGGTCGGCGACACCACTCGGACACGTGAACATCTTGCCTTGGCTACCATGCGGCTCGGGCTCAATCCAAGCGATGATTATTGCAGCAAGGAGTGGTTACCGCCTGCGACAGAGGTGGCAGCTCGGGCCGCTAGAAAGAGATTGTTACGACGGGCTACATGCTGACGTTGAGCAATCCAGAGAGATCGAGGCAGTACTTGGAGGGCTGCTTCGGGTCGATCGTGATGAGCCACTCCTTGTTGTACGCCTTTGCTTCTGCAATGCGCCTTTTCTCGCTCACGGGGCCGCTCGTGCATGTGGGTTTGTTTCGTTTTGCTTGAGGAAAATCCACCATATCGCGTGGTGGCTGCGCTGCGCTGTTCCTTGCAGTCTTTCCGGGTGGTAATGTGGAGGGTGCCACTTTGCCCTTCTTCTTCAGCGTAGGTGGAGGGACCTTTTCGACCTGTTTGCGGGGTTTGGATGGCTTTGATGTCGCCGCGGTAGAGTCCGACGACGGTATTTCCTATTGGGTTGCACTCGCTATGGACAACGGGATATGCCATGTCGAAGGGTTCGTACCTCTGCCCCCGTCGTGTCCAATTTGGCGCATGCAGCGTAATGCTTCCACTTGGTCGGGTTGTCTTTGCCATCGCTGCCACCGAGGGGGTGAAACGCCAGCACACTCCGCATGAGCGCCAACTGCTCCGTTCGACGTAGTGCGTCCACTGCCCGCAGGACTTCGGCGTAGCTGTTGTCCGACACAAATCGAAAGCAATACACCGTAGTCCCGTCGACCCAGAACATTGACCCCACCTCCATCGTCACGTCTGCCATTCGTGCAACAAAGAGCAGGTCCGTGGTCGCTGCGTTCTTGACAAGGACCTTGGTGTCGACAACGCCCGACGGATCAATGTCCGACATAGTCTGTCGCTCCACCAGCAAGCACAGTTCCGCTTCTGCGCATAGCACTTCAAACTTTGCAGCGCCTCTGTCGTCCGGGTTTTGTGAGCGCTGGAGGAAGATCCCTCGGAACCCCATGATGGCAACCCCGAGCGCGGAATCGGATTTTCCGGATGCTCCGGGGATCAACTGTTTCCGGATGCGTCCAAATGATTCATTTACTTTATGTAAATGAATGTTTCAAGGGTGATCTCCCACCCTGCTCATGAAGAAGGAAGTGGATGAAGGCTGTCCGTGCGTGGGGTATCGCTGTCCAGGGGGTGCATGCAGCACGTAGCTCGTTTTCCGCCTCCAATGCTATCCCACGCCTCGGGCTGCTGGTATTTCCTGCAACTGCCACAACCGGATGGCTAAGAATAGCACCGTTTCGCAATTCAGCGAACGAACGACTGTCGCCCTTGTTGCAGTCGAGAGGTTCGTGCCACAATCACGGAGGGCATGGTATCAAAGCTGTGTGTGCCGTGGGTCAACGTGGCAAAGTGCGACTGGCACGGTGCCTCCAAGCACGTCCAACGTGTCCAAGAACCGCAAAACGTTGTGCAGGTGGACGTTGGTGGCGCGCGGGGTCAAGGTTGGTTTCTGCGACGGCGCGCGCATGTCGTGATTCGTTCACGCTTGACGCGCGTTTGACCACGCTGAAGACGAGCGCGATGTGTGTCGCACGCTTGGACGCCGCCACGTCGGTTTCCGGTCGCGAGATTATTTATAGCGCGGCACTCGATCGGTTACATCGGGCGCACTTTGGAACCCTCGTGGATGGTGGGGTCGCTAGGGTCGGCACTGGCGGAGGAGACAACATCCACGGGACCCCTCCTGCGACGACGACGGAGCCATTGTCGCCTTGCGGTATTTCGTTTCAGCTAGTCGACGACCCGTCTACCGGTCTACCGTCCATGAACGTGAGCGTGAAATCCCCCCGGGCAAGCGTGAAACCTGGTGCGCGGTCAGTCGTGCCGTCCGACTCGCTCCCGGTGCGACGGAGTGTCGTGGATCTGCCTCCTAACGCCCGCCGCCACCTCCGGCAACGTCACCGTGCGTCCAGCGCCCTCGACAAGTAACGATCGCATCGATCGAATCCACCACCGTCACAGCTCTTGTAGGCCACGAAATGCCGTCGGGGCATTTGTCACCAACATCAAAGTCGAGCTCTTCTTCATCTCTATCGTGATATGCTATGGCATCTTCGTCGTATGTGGCTGTGACCCATTTTCAAGGTTTTCGCCTAACTTCTGGCCCACGTAGCTCGTGCAAATGACGTTCGAAGCGCAGCTCAAGGCGTACCAGAACGCATTCGACGTAGTTGACCTTGTCGTGAGCTCTGTGCTGACGCTCGAGCTCGTCCTGCGTCTGTTTGGGTTTGGGCTGGTCATGCTCATGAGCTTCTGGAACAGCTTCGACGCGATTGTCGTCGTAGGGACGTTGGTCCTGAGCTTGTGGAGCTTTACGTCGGAGAACGGAACCGGATCCGCGATCGCGACCCTACTCCGCATGCGTCCCATCTTGCGCATCTTCCGCATCGTCGTCGTCTTTGAGCGCATCAAGCAGCGGTCGGCGGCCCTCAAGCACGCCCACCGCGGCAGTGCCTTGCAAACGCCCATCGAAACCGTGCTAGGCACGTTGTACGAGCTGCGGTACCATCCATCTATCAAACCGAGCGTCCAGAGTGAAATCGACTACGCGATCTACACAATCAAGAACAACAAGCTGTACGACGCCGGCGAGCATATGCTGAATGGCCAGAACATCGACAAAGACACCCAGGACTGGCTCCGCGATGGCCTTCTTCGCAAGAACGATGCGTCTGCAGTGACCCCGTCACCAGCCGCGGCCGACGTCGGCGCCGGGACTACCGACCCAGACGACAAGGTGGGCCGCCCCGCCGGCGTCGGCGGGCTACGTAAAGAAAACTCGGGCATCACAGACGAGCTGTTCCCGCTTATCGAGACGGCACGCCACCACTTCAACGAGCTCATGGCGACCGTGGCCGAATGGGACTTTGACGTATTTCGCGTGCAAGGTAACTAGCTCGATAACGCTTGCTTTCTACGCGCTTCCAACGGCACTTGGTCTCGGATGTAGAGATCACCAAAGGCAACGCGTTGACGCACATGGGGTACTTTTTACTCCGTGATTTGGTTGAGGAGCACCTCTTGTTGGATGCGCACACGCTGGCCGTGTTTTTGATCGAAATCCAGCAAGGCTACGTTGTCTTGAACCCGTACCACAACGCGATGCACGCCGCGGATGTGATGCAAACGTCCAACTACTTTGCCACGCGCAGCGCGATCGCGCCGTTCTTGCGACCGCTCGATCGGACGCTCGTGCTCCTCGCCGCGTGCATCCACGACTACAAACACGACGGGTTCAACAACGGGTTCCACATCGCATCGGGTACGTCGGGTTTTGCAGCTCCGTGTCGAGGTCACTTCTGTCGACTGGGCTCGGGCTCCTACCTGACTCTGTTCGGCTGCCTCGAGTCGAACGAAGGCTCACGTATATCAAATAGGCTCGGAGCTCGCGATTCGGTACAACGACACAGCAGTGCTGGAAAACTTTCACGTGGCACAAGCGTTCTTGACCATGAAGAGTTCCAACTGCATGCTCTTTAGCAAGTTGAGCACGGACGACTACAAGTACGTTCCCGACTGAGCGACTGTGCACACATGTTTCTACGCGTCGAGGTCGGGGATTTGTGTACTGACTAGGGCGTGCGCGTGCATAGGTACAGCCGCGACATGTTGATTCAGCTCGTGCTGGGCACAGACATGGCCAAACACTTTGAAGATGTTGCGCTGTTCAAAGCAAACATCATGCCCCAGTCGCTGGACGAACGGTTGGAGATCAAGACTCTCGGGTACGTCTGCGTTCGACGTCGCCCTTGAATTCCTTTTCCCCACATGTCAACTGCATTCTAGCGACAAGAAGATGCTCATGAAAATGATCATCCACACATCGGACGTGTCGAACCCGGCCAAAGTCCGCGTGACGATGCTGAGGTGGACGGACCGCGTCGTCGAAGAGTTTTTCGGCCAGGGGGACAAAGAAAAGACCCTCGGGCTCGTGGTGTCGCCGTTCATGGACCGCACGACGCTCGCCCTCAAGAAGATGCAGCTCGGGTTTGCCGACTTTGTCGTGAGCCCGCTCTTCCACGTGTGGGCCAACATCTCGCATCAAGTCCAGGTCGACGGGTACACGACGCTGCTCGACAATCGCGAGTGGTGGAACCAGCGGGACGACAACTTTAAGCACGCGCAGATCAAGGGCGTGGTGAAGGACTTGCTGCAGGATGCGACCGTCGCGTCAGGCCTCCTCTCGAGGAAACTCTCGACGGGGTCGCTACCCATGGTACGGGAAGGCGACGGCCGCGCGCCTGCATCGCAAGCCGAATCGGACGGCGGCGGGTCGAACAAGCTCGAACTCGTGGTGAAGGAGACCAACAAAGGGGGCGGGACCTCCGACGGACCGACATCTACCACGGCACCGTAGACCGTCCATGAATAGGATGCCAAGTGTGAATAGAACGACAAGCAGCGGGTAGGATGATAATCTCGAAAGAGTACATTTGCGGCATGACGGCTTGTTCGTGCCACAGCAAACTGCACACACCAGGAACTGTCCGATCGCGTCGTTTACGAGACTGCGCTCGACATGACGGGTGCAGAGAACACCGCCGCCCAAGCGCTGTGGAGAGTTGCTGCGTTGGGATTGCAAACTCGAATTGTTTTCAGTCGGATCCTGTCCTGGAGTCGGTCGCGAAACGAAGTGGAATGCTTCGACCACATACTCTTGGATTCGAAACAATGCGAGGGCAGCCAGGTCGTTCGAAGAACTGGTGGGGGGGGTCGACCATCTAGGAATCCCATGACTCATGCAAGCGCGCCAACGAAGCAAGCACGACAAGAGGTTGCAATGTGGCACCGTGTGGCCATTGCCCCGGGAGTGGAATAGCACATTTCGTTGACTATCCTAGCACACGCACATGACACCGGGCGGAGGAGGGTCCGTGAACATTCCAAATTCGTACAAGCCGACGAGAAGGAGCTGGGCATCCAAGGGTTGTCGACCCGTATGAACGAGCTCATGAGGGAAAGGCGGACGAGGTACTGATGCATCGGTCGGGTCGGAGCAATGGGGGGCAGGGCTGCAGATGCATTGAGTGTCTGTGCGTGGCCGAAGGGTTGGTTCGAGTCACAACTTGTCGAAGTCCATGCCCGGTGGGGGCGTCGAGCTGGTCGTGGCAGATTCAAGGCACAGAACATGCTGTTGATGACGGCCCTGTTCAATGCAAGTCTGGCCTCCCCTAGAGCCATCTGCATTCGTGGTGTTGCTTAGTGCCTGGTAGTGTCTCCAAACTGAAGTTGCCGTGACATGTCCCTGCATTATGTCCACCGTCTCCATGCCCAATGCGGAAGGTCAAGATAGCTTCAAACTTGGACGACAAATGTGGTCAAAAATCGTTTCGGCGTGAAACCGGATGAAGCGAGTTGCGGCGACCCAGGTGGCCAAGAGCGCGTCGAACGCGGCACGCAAGGCTCAGTTTGCGTCCAGTCGCGTCGGAGCAGCACTGTTGGCCAACAACGAGACAAAGTCCAAGACGAAGGCGGCCGTCGTGAAGAAGGTCGCGACGAAGAAAGACACTTGGAACCAAAAGATCAACCGCGCCACCGACCGCGCCGTCCTCCACGTGTTTCGCCAAGCTTTCCTTGCGCTGGACGTGGTTCAAACAGTGCACGCCCACGGATCAACTGCCTCAGTCACGTGTACCGACAGCAACAATCATGCGAACGTGTTTCTGGCCCTGACCACGTACACGACACCGCTCGAGATGAACGCGACGTTGCGGCAAGTGGTATCATTTGAATCATCCGCCCACTCGCCGCGCGTGCCGTCCGGGGAAGTCACTGCGAGGGCGCAGCTCAAATTTTCAGGTGCACGAGCTTCCATCCACACTCGCAGACATACCCAACTCCACCCTGACCGTGCCCTCTGCAGCGTGGAAGCTGGTTGACAAGACAACCGATGGCACTGCCTTGTGCGTGTACCAGTACGCTCCCGACGGCGCAGTGGCGCAGTCGAACGGTAGCTGCTGCCCAAGCCTAGTCGCTATCGTGTGGAGGGATGGTCTGCAAGTCCACAGGTGCTTTGACGAACAGCCCACCACCATCACAAGTGCACATCCTCCATGACCTCCTTGCCTTGAATGCATAGCTTGTACGCGATCCACTCGATTCCGCTCGTCACATCGACGTTGCTGTCGCGAGTGGCCACGACCCTCGAGGACGACATCGACCCGTGCTTCGGCTTGCAAGGATACACGATAGCTGTGTCCCTGCGATCCTTCGATCAAGCCGTGTGGGACTACGAAGGGTATGTCGTCGATTTTCCATCCGACTTGCCCCCTGGCGCCACGGAAACGTGCGCCTCGCTATTGGTTCCCCAGGTACGTTGCCCGCGTTTCCGGTCGTCTTGGTGACGGAGGTGGTCGCTGGGGCCACATGGATGGCATGGGGGACCCCGCCGCGCTTGATTGCGCGTTTGTTTGCTGTAGGGCGCTCTACGAGAACGCTCCCGCGTGCTCAACGAAGGCAGCAACGGGAACCTGTCCATTCGCACTCACGCATTTACCACAACTGCCACCAATAGCATCATTGTGGACGTGGCTGTGTGGGACTTTGAGCGGTCGTTGCGTTGGGGTATGTCATTCTGACATTCCTTGGCATGACGTTATCCTTGTAGCCACGTCGCAATGCGTCGCGTACACACCGAGCGTCAAGCGGCCGGAAGTGTTCGACATGGACGTGTCCAAGGCGTTTGAAGCCGTACACCTCGCTATGGACTCCCCCCACGTCGGTCGCGTGCGCCTCGAGCTCTATCGATTTGCGGCGAAAACGATTGTCGCCAGCCTCGACGTGGCGCTCTTAACAGGTTTTGTGAACGCGACGTACGGGACGGGACTTCCTACGGCAAAGGATAAGCTTACTTGATACGGTTTACCCCTCCACCATGCTCAAATCGAAGCTTCCAACGCAAGAATTCAATGGCACGAGGCAAACGCCTCCGTGGACTCGAACGACTCATTGATGCCGTCCATCATGAGAGCCTTCCGGGAATCACCAGTGTCGTGGCCGCATCCTCTGGGCACACACAATAGCTCTATCGCGAACAAGGCTCCTCGGGAGAGCCCTTGGTGAGCCTGGGCTCCTTGCTTTGAGCCAAGTGGTCGAGAATGCGTCGGCAAGCTGGCTGGAAGTACTCCAATCGTTTCCATGATCGGAACTGATGGAAATTTTCTTGACTGTCCCCCACCAAGAGCCTGCCAGAACTGCATGAAGCACTCCTGATAGCTCCTGTGAAGTCGTGCGGAGCATGAAACATCCATGATGGCTTGGAACGAGGGCTATCGTACGCAGAGTATAAACGACGTCTGCATCCGTAGCCTTTCAAGCTCTTCCATGAGATTTTTATAGCTCCATCGTGTTAACACGGCAAACAGAGGCATTTGCCTTGGCTTATGCGTTCTGTTGCGGCTCTCCTACCTCCACTTCCACTAAACAATTTGAGTCCACCGGTTTCTGTTGGCCGTTGTCGTCCGTACGGAATATCTGAGCAGCAGGCGAATAGCCGATGCACTGGCGGCTCTCGACATGACGCGATGCTGATGGGTTGATGGATGAGCCCGTCATTCGTTTTCCTGTGGGCTGAATTGATACGCCTCCATTGCGTTGGTGTAGATTTGAGTCGCAACTTCGTCAACAGACCTGCCCATGCAGAGTGCCACGTAATTCAGGGCAAACTTGACCGCCGTCGGGTCGTTGTGCTCCAATTTGATCAAGTCGTCCATGTCCAAGAAAGCCACTGGCGCATCTGCAGATGGGGCATACGACGGCCGTTGGTCTGGGGCATCAGTTTCCACCAGCAATCGATTCAATGGCACCGCAGCAACGATCGTGCGAATCTTGGCGGACGTGGCCATGTCGACACATTGCTTCGCCGTGAATGAGAAATAGACGGGGAATTGGAGCTTTATAAAAGCCTTGACCATGTCCTGAGATCCAGAGTAGGCGTGCAAGATGGCATGGGGAAGCAAGGGGGCATGGGTAAGAAGGTTCAAAAGTCGCCCATGCGCGCCAACACAGTGGAGAACCACGGGTCGCTGGAGTTCCTCCGCCAGCTGCAGCTGTTCGCGGCATCGTTGTTCTTGAACATGGATTGGAACCTGTTTTCCACGTCTCGATTTGCACAACCCGAGTTCTCCCATCTGGCAGATGATGACAAGCGTCAGTCGCCGCTATGAAGGTCGAATGGATACCATACCAGTGAAAATGGATACTGGTGGAGTATACTTCGAAGCGTGTTCAAGTACGTTGGCGATGCTTCACCTGCGTACCAAGGATGCAACCCGAAGGCTGGCACGATTTTTGGAGACGCCGGTGTGTCCTGAAGGAGTGAAGAGAAGTCACTCCACTCGACTTCGTTGCATGAGCAATTGCATATATGGGTCAATCCAGCCTTCGCAGCTCGACAGAGCACATCAGAGAGCGTCGATCGTAGGCGGGGGTCTTGAAGGTGGCAGTGTGTGTCGACAAGCGGTCGTGCCATTCCTGTGCACGACAGCAATGGAACATCCGGATAAGTGGTCCCCCATTTTTTACCCGGACACACAAAATATTGATTTGTAGTGAAATATATACCCCAAATCGACCGAATTCTTAATAAACCTGGATATTTTTTCTAGCTCACTCTTTGCATCCCCATCATGGGGCAATCGTCTGGCTCTGCTACTTGGTCTGTGGTGCCTCGCAAAGACTTGTGGAGGACGATGTGGATTAAAACTGGGCAGTCGAGGACCCAACGACCTCCTCGTCACTACTCTCGTCCGCGGCGTGAGAAAGATCCCCCAGCGCTTGCTGGAACACGTCCAGCGCTGCATTGGAGTCGCCCTTGGCGTAAAGAACCTTGCCCAGCATGGTCAGAATCTTCTGCTGTTCCTCTTCGGCACACAGAGCCAACGCCTACGGACGTACGAATCGTCACCGCCTCAGCCAAACGACAAGTCCGCCACCTTTCTCAACGCGTCTTCGGCAGCGTCCTCTTCCCCTGATGCATGCAATAACCTGCCCAAGTCGTACCAGGCCCCCGCTGTCTGCTTGTTCGAAATGCTCTTTCGCAAGGCGTCAATGGCAGCCGCCGTGCTGCCTTTGTCAGCCAGCGTCACTCCTGCGCCGACAACATGTCACGTCCGGTTAGTTATCGATTCGTGCCTCCTGACGAGGTAGGTGCAGTCGATGAACAAGGAAAACATTTCAAGATGGAGCTGTACCTAGCAAGTGCTGGGTCTGGGCTACGTCGACGACAGCCCCAGACGAGTGATGCATCTATTCGAAACATGAAGTGGTAGGACGAAGGGGAGCGCAGCATTCCGCCGGACGGCAGGACGTACCTGCGGCCAATGCTCTGTGCCATCTCGCGGTTTGAGCGGGGGTTGCTGGGCCACCATGTGAGTCGCCTGCAGTTGCTCCTGCAACAGCGCTTTCGTTCGATTCAACGTGAGGATCGACTCGGTCAGAAGATCGATGTCATGCGACGACTCGGACGACGTTCTATACACAGCCGCGTCAGTACTCACCCTCATGCACTATCACGCCATCCAAATTGTACACTCATCAACAATGCACACGATCCGCTACCTCGACGGTCGCGTGATGTCGGAGCCTTGGTCCGCTTCCGGCTGCCGAGGGTGCTCCAGCAAATATGCTGCTTTCTGTGCCAGGATGCTCCGACTTGACGACGACGACGACGACTTGAAAAAGTCCTCTGTCTGTGAACGAATGCGGCGGATGTTGCGACTTGAGGTGAGCGTGAGAGAGCCGACGCCCGGGCCTTCTGGATTGAACTCTTCGTAGCACGCCGCGCAAACTCTAGAAGTGCGCCGTGAGCCATGGAAGCTATCGATGACGACTGGTGGGGACGTCTACCGCTGCAGGGATTGCAAGCCGAGGTGGGGCAGGGCCATACGACCACGAGAGTGCGCATTGCAAACGGACACACCGCAGCCGCGGCAGTGGTGCCGCGATCGGAACGGACCGAACTTGGCCTGGCACACATGGCACGCTTTCTCGTGCTGCCACCTTGGCGGCAAGTGCACGTTCGACATGCCGTTGGTGCCTCCGTATTGCGATCCCCCACCAAAGCTGCAGCTACTCGAGCGCGACTTGGACAGGAATGACTCGACGGACATCCGACGAGGCACGTCGTACTCGATGTGGAGGACGTCGCACAGCTCTTGTGGACTCGCGAGCTTCCGAGCGAGGTCTCCAGGTGTGTCGCCATGAGGAGTGCGTACTTCCAACGCCGCAGGATATGCCTGCAGGATGCTGTCTACGATCGGGACGTCGATCTCGGCTTTGATCGCGATGTGGAGGGGCAAGAGGCCAGCAGTGTTTTTCGTGCGTGCGCCAGTTGGATGCAAGTCGAGCAAGGTTTGTACGACGGCGGCGGTCACAGATGGGTCCGTGCATGCCCAGTGCAGCGGCAGCATGCCGTAGTCGTCGCACTCTTTGGCGCTGGAGGGATGTTCCAGCAGGAGCGCATGCAGCGCTTTCCATGCAGACCGCTCGGCAAGTTCGATGGCTGGGAGGTTGCTCATCTTGGCTGCAGGGTTTTGGAGCAAGCGCCGTCGACACTCGGGATATGTGGGTGCGTGAATGGGATATACCAAGGTGAGTCGGGCAGGCAGGCATGTTAAGCCTATTTAACGCTCATACTTTTGCGTATTTTACAGGGAGGGACCTGCATTCTTGGTGTCAGAGGTGGAATAAAACCGTCTTTTCAATTTTAACGCGAATAGGAGGTATTTGGGGTAAAGTGTCGCGTTTACGTATATCGGCAGAGGTGGTGGCGGGCAGTTGTCGAACTTCGTCACGACCCAAGCCATCGCTTCGATGGCCTGCACAAAACGAAGCATTGCTGCCGTCCATTGCGCATTCAGATCCATGCAGGGTCCTGGACGAGGCAGCGCTTTCGTTCGATTAACACGAGTTTGTCTCGCTTTGTTCGGATCGATGGCCCAGTGGCGCACCTGGCGACTTCCAGGGCCGCGACAACCTTCCAACTTGAGTCTACAACTGTGCGGTGTAGATGTGGGTCCACTGGTGTCGTGTCGAGTTGCCGACGAGTCCTTCTTGACGTAATGCGCCGCGCGCTAAGTCCTCGACGGGGGCCATACATTCCGTCTAGAGGACGGACGGCCTCAACGGCGTCATGTGATTGGCCCGCGAACCGTCGCGGATGCAATGTGGTTCACACATCTCGGGCATCGCGATCGATCGCGAACATGTACTCGTCTGCGAAAGCAGAGAGCTTTCTCTTTCAGACCAACCAGACAAGGCATGAACCGCCGTTGCGTTTCCCGCGGCTAGCCTGTGGCGACGTCACAACTGCGTTTTGTGGCTTCGTGGCGTTGGCTGGCGTTGTTATGCTTGCGTGCGGTGACGACTACACCCTTGTCGGGAAAATTCTAGCGCTCGTCGGCGGATGTGGTCTCGGCGCAGGGATGATGAACGCTCTGTTCGTGCACTTGCTCTTCCGCCGTGTCCGTGGCTGCATCGGGGCTGGCGTCTTCCATCGGCAATCAAAAGAGATCGCCATACAGTTGCAGCGCCTGGTAAGTCGCAAGGGTTAGCGAACAGTTGTAGGCTTGACACGCTGACTCCTAGATGATGCACACGTTCTTCTCGCCGCCGACTCTAGCTGCGTATGCGAACTCGTTAGCTTCGAACCAAGGCGCAATCTATGCCACCGTGCGCTCGAAACTCGACCAGCCCAACGCCCACATCTCCCTCATCAACGCGTTCTCCTTTGTTGCGGCAACTCCCGACGGTAGCTCTCTCCCTACTATTCCATCGTATGGAAGACTTACCACACCTTGGCTCGTGCAGGGGCTGTGTTGAATTCGTTGGCTGGTATGTTTGGAGGCATCGAGCCCATGGTACCAAAGATCAAGCCTCTCTTGGTGGCCCTCGCAGCAGAATGGGACCAGCAAGTAAGTTGAATGACCAGTGTCTTCCAGGAGAGCGCTGAAGCTCACCGTCGTTCTCTCAGCACCCGTCTTTACTGTCGAGAACACAAGCCGTGATCGGTGCATCGTCGGAGGATGTCGTTGTCCAACGGCTGTCCCAAGAGATTGGCAACTTCCTTCATACGCGCGCGATGCGGCTCGACCCGCCAGAAGTTTCTGTGATGCTGGAAACTCTTGTCGCCCCGCACCTGACGTGGATCGTGGTGTGGGGAAATCTGTTTGGCCTGTTTCTCGGTGGAATCGTCGCCCTGTGTACACTTGCTACTTGATCCCCATAACACTCCACTTCTGTCGACATGTTGATGGGTTTCGCTGCTTCGTCCTGCGTGACAACGACCAATTCGACAGCGGTTAGCTAGGCTAGCTTCGGTGGACGTTCCTCTGGGCGTGCCCAAACTCGGCGAACGCTTAGCAGATCCACGAGCGCCGCCACGTCTGCGCTGTTGAGGGCCACCCGTACACACTTGTCCAACTCAATGGAGTTGAGAATGGACTTGGTCAGGCCCACCCGATTTCTTCTTGCCCGCCGTTTTGTTGGTGCCGACGTCCAAGACCCTCATAGCTTTCTACGCGTTCACTGATATCTAGCCATGATCATGCGAAGTTTGTCTGTGCTGCGTAGCAAGTGACCTCAACGAACGGGATGCAACAATAACTTATATTTGTTTTCCGAGGCGTGTAGGCTAAGCGACAGCTGAATCGAGGTAGTGCCTCGAAAACGCATCGGGATGAGCCGTGTCCATCGACTTGCGGAGCGGCGACCAAATGGAGTAGCTTTGATCCATGGACATTCGAACGGTCATGGTGCCACTTGGACGACCCGACGGGATGCTATGAAGGGGATGGCATCGTTTGCGTCCAGAGGTCGGTGTCCGAGCAATGGCAAAGTCGCCAAGTTGTCGAGTCTTCTCCAGGACGCCCAAGCTCGCGCTTCGATCGCGATAACTTCCACCTGGCCATCCTTGACTTCGTGGCGTTGCAGTGTCATCACGGTGGACACGTCGGCCGAGTGAGCATATTTTACACACCCGCACGGCCACCGCGGGGCAACTGCCATGGCCTCGCAGAGTCCACACCTTGGTGCATTTGAAGCACAGAAGAAGACCGCACTTTCGGCAGTGGTCGCTTGGAACGAGGAGTCCAAACTTGGTGCGGCAGTGACAACATGAATGTCTCGTCGACCGCGGCGTCAGTGCAACAGCGGATGGAAGCGGCGCCAGACCGAGTCGGTACCCTCGCAGAAGGGCGTCCATCGTCGCCATCGCTTTGGCACGACGCTGGAAGTCCAACTTGACGACGAAATCCCCAAGCGCGTGGCCGTGCAGTTTGCCGTTGAAGTCAACTTGCAGCAATTGGGTCACGTGGACGTAGTCTGGCTTGGCGGGGCTCTCGACAAAGATGAACCCTCCGCAAAGAATGTTCCCTCGCAGAATGTCCATGGCGACCCCAACGTCAGGGCAGCACGACAATGCGATCGACACGAACGCCCGCGCCCAGCCGCGCCTCCCATCGTCCAGAGTAAAGTGGGTATGCGTCTAGTCAGCGCAAGTCAGTTTGCCGACAGGAGCGACTTTCTGTGTACCTCGAGGAAGCACCAGTCACGCCGCTTAACGATCGACTTGTTCTTCAAGTTCATGAAGCTTGGAAGCTCCGTCACAACGTAATGAACGCCAATGTATTGACGCGATGTGTTGTCGAGGCAGTAGAGGCGCAGACCATCGACGGCTTGGAACTGGTGCGGGGCCTGGCACGCGCGGTGGTCATCTGTATCGGCAATATCTGTCTTGTACATTCCCGCGACATCGTCGATGGTCCCAAACAACTCGGTCGTCCACGCGGCTGTGCGAGTGCTTTGTGGTGCGAGTGCATCCGTGCCTTTGAACATTTCCACACCATGAACCGGCGCTTTGTCCCGAGTCCACGCAATCGAGGTGTCTTGCAACTCTGCATGACGAACCTACAGCCTCTCGCGTGAGCCGCACGCAAGAGAACCACCAGAGAGGCACCACTTACCAACTTCGCCACGCTCGTGTCGGCCAGTTTGTGGAAACGAACTACTTGCGCTTCTGTCAGCGGTGGGCTTCGAAACGCGTGCCGGGCTGTGTGGAGGGCTGGCATGGTGGATGTGAATTCTAGTATGGCCAAATGTCATGCCCATGTCGTGCTGCTTATTCATTCCAGCGCATGGACCGATCTACTTGACGGTTGATGGACATTTCCACGAGTAATGGCTGGCGCGACACATCTCGCGCCGCGCACTTGCATGTGCTTTAGATGTTTGGTGGAAACGTCACAAAGGAGGGGCATTCAAAATAACAAATACTATGCATAAATATACATGCAATACGTATAGAAAAAATCGTATAGAAAGAAGAAAAGTAAAGAATGCTTCGATTTTGTTGAAATTGTGTAACGGGATCACACTAAACAATCTGCATCGAGTCAGCTGGAGAGTGTGGGGGCCAGCAAGAGCCCAGTCGACGAGACAGTCGACATACTGGCGCGCGGTGGGAATGGCGAGACGTTCAGAGTCGCCTGCGAGATGGAGGAACTTGCCAACGGGGGCTTGGCAACTCACCGAGGCGTAACCAACTACCTGCAGTGATATACCTGCTGGCTACAAGTGAAAACACAATAGAGGAGTGGGAGCTTGGCCTCATCTAGGGATTCGCCGCGCACACGAAGAGAAACGGGAGTTGTGCGATGATAACAAAAAAGTAGCTC